GGGCGGGGAGAGGGCGGGAAGGGCGCGGCGGGACCGGGACAGGAGGTTCCCGCCCTGCCCAGGTGCAGGCCCGGCCTTCGCGTGTACCCTCTGCCCCCATCTGGCTAGCTTCACCCAGAGACATCGCCACCGCACAGCGCAGGCCTCGCCGTCCAGCTTCCCAAGGATCAGCTGGAGTTATTACTGCGTTTTGTTTGTTGAGACACGGTAGCGCTTTGTGGCTCAGGCTGGCCTCGAACTCGCGGCGATCCTCCTGCCTCAGCCTCTCCTGTGCTGGGATTACAGGTGTGTACCACCATCGCGGCTTTTAGATTTATTTGAAAGAATCCACGTAAATACAAAGTAAGTGAATAATATAAGGAAAATATGTTGCTCTTAAAAAAAAAACACCAAGTTTCTGAGTTCTCCAGGTTGCATTTGGTAGACTTCAGGTCGGGGTTTAGGGGTCTGGGTAGATAAACCTGCCAAGGGCCTGCGAGGGGTTCTCTCTCCTACCGGTATGAGACTGAAGTTCCAGATATCCCCGCAGGGGGCGCTCTACCAACGTCAACCGATGCACAGATAGCTCAGGCTCACACGGCCATCACCAAGAACTTTATTTTTTAAATCCTAAGAACATAAAGGTGCTGGGGGCTTAGCTCAGTGGTTCCGCCTCCTGCTTCGAAAGCCCAAGGTCCTGAGTTCGATCTCCGGTACAAAAAAATGAAAATATGCCAATGGATATGTTTAACACTTAAGTTTCCGTGCCCCCCAACTGTCTCTCAAAATCAAACCCAGGAGGTCTTGCGGGGTCAGGCAGGCCCTGTGAGCCAATAACTAACCTCAGTCGCGAATGCGACCCCCGAGAGGTAGCTCATCCACAGCACACTGCGCATGCGCAGGAAGTTTACGTACCCAATAGTTGCTTCAGCAGAAAGTTGTTATTGTTATATAGGGGATCGAACTGGTGACCTTGCGCTTGCGAGGCAGGCGGCGAAACGCTGAGCTGAATCCCCGGCCCAGTAGAAAGTATTTTAGACCCTATCTAAAAAATTACATCTCAGATCATTTATCCAAAAAGCAGTCCTGGAACTTCCCTAGGAATCCCAACAGTAATGATGACCAGGAAAGAGAACCAGCTGCTTTTTTAATTTAGTGGGGGGGGGAGGTTCCCCCTGGAGATCACAGGAGCCTGGGGACAGGAACCCTCGGGAGCGACCTGGCATGAGACCCCAGGCTCGGGTGCACTTATGTTCCTGAGAGAGGCTGGTTTTCCATGCACTTGGCTGGCGGAGATGCTCCGCAAGGCCCCCGGTCAGCGACCCCGCCAATCTCCAGGGCTGCCTGCAGTTCCGAGGTTTCCCAGCAGGTGGCGCGCCGCGACCTGAGCCCAAAGTCAGACTCCCCCCGCCCCGCCCCGCCCCGCCAGCTCTGTTGCCTGGCGCTGGGGAATGTGTCTGAGGACCCGCAGGGCCCGGCCCCCCCAACACCCACCCCGGCCAGAGCGCCTATATCCTTTTATGGGCACAAACGAGACCATAGTATCGCCCACCAAGCAAGAATGCGACCCCCGGGGGAGGGAGGGTTGGACTAATCTTGCCTGACCCCAGCAAGGCCTCCTGTCTGTCTGCCAGTCAGGACAGCCTGGGCTCCTCCTGGGGCCCAGACCTTGGGACGAGGGGCCCGCTGTCCGCAGTTCTGTCTGTGAAGTGGACGTGAGGACCCCTACTTTCCAAAGTTACAACACGCCTGATGTGGCGGTCCATGCCTGAAATTGAGCACTCTGAAGCCTGAGGTGAGAGGATCTCCCAGAGTTTGAGTCCAACCTGAGCCACCTAGTGAGTTTAAGGCCACACTGAAGTACATAGTAACATTTTGTCTCAAAACGAAACAAGTTATAGTAAGAGTGAAAAGCAATAATTCCTGGGCCTAGATCAGAGCAGGGGACTAGTGAAGTATAATAAATAGTAACTGTTCTTATTATTTTATTTGTATTTTTAAATGAAGGGTCCTACATCACAGTCCAAGAATTTATTACTCAAGGCCTTGTATATGCTATGCAAGCAAGCGTTCTGCCGTGGAGCACAGCCCCAGCCCACCGCACATCCTGTCTGAGATCCCAGCACTATGGGAGGCTGAGGCAGGAAGGTCCCATGTTTGAGCCGAGCCTGGGCAACTTAGCAACTTATCCAGACCCTGCCTCAAAATAAGAAATAAAAAAAGGGGCTGGAGATGTAGCTCAGTGTGAAGGCCCCGGGTTCCATTCCTAGGGCTGCATAAAATTTCTTTAAAAAACCAAAACACTGGTTAAGACATGAGTGTCCCACAGTCATACTTGGAAGTTGTTCTGCCCCATGCTCACACCATACACTTCATTCTGTCTTCAGGTCCCGAACTCTGTGTAGAATCTCACTGGTCCAAGCAGAGTGGAAGTCTCCATCGTGACCCCTCTGGGCTTGTGCTGTCCTGTCCCTGTTGTCTTCTGGCTCCCTCGCACACCCTGAACAGTGGTCACAGGCCCTTGCCAAGCCTGCCCTGTCATCTCCTGCCCTCAACGACTCCCATTATTTCTATCATTTGCAGCTCCGGCCACGCAAGATCCTCCCCGTCATGGAATCCACCATCACATTCCTGACCCAGGGCCTTTGCACTTGCTGAACCCTCATCCTGAGATGCTTTGTTTCAGGTGTCCCCAAGACCATGGCATCTCAGCCCAGGTAAAGTGTCACTGCCTATGTACCATATCATCATTATTACACCACTGCATTTCTGTCTGCGTCCTGAACCAGAACGTTAGTTCCACGAAGGCAAGGAACTTTTTGATGTTGTTTGAGACAGCGTCTCATCCGGTAGCTCAGCCTGGCCTTGAAGTCACTATGTATGCCAGGCTGGCCTCAAACTTTCCAGCGATCCTCCTGACTCAGCCTCCCAAATGCTGGAATTACAGGCATACACTTGCGGGACTGGCTCAAGGACTTTTTTCTACGTCCTATCACGGGGTTTACATTCCCCTGTGTCATTTCCTTCTCCATCATTTTCAGCTGTTTTTCCTACAAATTCTTTCAAAAAGAAAATGTCTTTGGAATAGGTCTTGGGAACGGGGGGTGGCGGGCATCAGTCTGCGTTGGAGGCTGGTACCAGGGTCCGGGCGGTCGTGGCCGCGCCGGGGCTGCCTGTGGAGCCACTGGTGTCCATCGCATCGCCCTGGCGCGAGGAATGCTCGGTAACCAAGATTCATGTCACAATGGCCTGTAGAGATTTGGTGTTAAACATTTGCCAGCA